TGGAGCAGTCAGTGAATTTGCAATGCTAGCAGCAATTGACAATTTCAGTCTCGTGGTACCTGAACCCTCTCCTCATTCATTTCCTCTTCCATTACTTTTATTTGACTTTTGCCTTTGTTGATTGTTAAAGCATTGTTTCCTAGCATTCTACTTTATACCTGTCTCTTCTCACCCCCATGGGTCCCTAGTAGGATCTTGTAGACTCTTCTATTTCCTCTCCCTAAATTATTAATACCCTGATGGCTTTCCAGGACCAGTTGGTCCTGGTTTTTCTATGAAATTCAGAATTGATGTTTCCTTTCTTACTGTACATCTCCAACCTGATGTTCCACAAGTACCTCAGATTCAAATGTCTCAAATTAAATTCCACTGTCATTGTTCTCTCTTCTTTTTCCTTTTTTTTTTTTGTCTTGGGAAGAACAGCATCCAGATCATTCAAATCAGAACCTGTTACCTAACAATCACAAAGCCTTTCTCCTTCTCTTCGAGACCAGTTTATCTTCCACACAGCCATATAAAATAAAGAATTAATCAATGTAAATGACCTCTCAAAAGTTGTCATACTACCTTTTCAAAATCTTTTAAGGCTTAAAGCTATTTTATCAGCTTCATATATAGCTATTCCTTTCTCTACTCATATAAACAATGCCATTACTAACTGGACAAGTTGGTTCATGCCGGTAATCCTAGCTACTCAGGATGCTGAGAGCTGAGGATCAAGGTTCAAAGCCAGCCTGGGCAGGAAAGTCCGTGAGACTCTTATCTCCAATAAGAAAACTCAGAAAACAGAAAGTGGCACTGTGGCTCAAGTGGTAGAGTGCTCACCTTGAGCTGAGGGAGAGTGCCCAGGCCGAGAGTTCAAGCCCCATTATTGACCAAAAAAACAAAAAACAAACAATGCCTTTTCTGAAATACATGTCTCTTTTTCTTCTTGTTCATAAACTCTGTCATTTTTTTTTTTTTGGGTCCCGTCATGGGGCCTGAACTCTGGGCCTGGGTGTGGTCCCTCAGCTCTTCAGCTCAAGGCTAGCGCTCTACCACTTGAGCCACAGCGCCACTTCCGGCTTTTTTCTTTTTGCTTATGTGGTGCTGAGGAATTGAACACGGGACCTCAGGCATGCAAGGCAAGCGCTCTACCACTGAGCTACCTTCCCAGCCCTCTGTCATTCTTTCAGACTCAATACAAATGTTAATACTTGCATTTACTGATAGTGCTTAGTTCAGAATTACTTGTACCTTTCCTTGTGTACTTTAACATTTAAAGTTTTTTCGTCTGTTTCACTCAGTAAACTGTGAGTTCCTAATTTAAGAAGGGATTATGTCTTATTAACCTGTCATTTGTAATTTTAGCACAGTAACTTTGTCATACTGTTTAGAAAAAAGATGTCTTTTAAGTAAATGGAAAATTATGACCAAGTATCTAATGCACTTGTTTTAGACTATAAGAACAGAAGACTTTACTGTGTTCTATAAGCAACATAAACATTAGGGAACATGTCAGTAAATACCTTCACGATTATACAAATGAAAGCTCTCCTACATTGGAGGCTTCTATGGCTATTTTCTGGAGAACATTACAAGGCTGAGGAACACAGCCAGCATCTCACAATCTAAAAGTCATTATCTATAGCTGGATTTTTCAAAGGCAGATATTGCTTTACATTCACTTTAGACTTGTCAGTTCTTCTTGTTGAACTGTTTTTAAAATTACCATCTCATATTGCATGGGTAATATAAGTAAAAATGTTTTTCTTGCCAGGCGCCGGTAGCTCACACCTGTAATCCTAGCTACTTAGGAGGCTGAGATCTGAGGATCGATGTTCAAAGCCAGCCCAGACAGGAAAGTTCGTGAGACTCTTATCTTCAATAAACCTCTAGAAAACCGGAAGTGGTCCTGTTGCTCAAGCGGTAGAGCACTCACCTTGAGCTGAAGAGCACAAGGACAGCGCCCAAGCCCAGAGTTCAAGCCCCAGGACCAACAACAACAACAAAAAAAAGTTTTCTTTGTAATAAAATCTGAAGGGTTAAACTTTTAATTTTATTTTAATTGTTATATGTAATTCTTCAAAACAACAGTCAGGATATTTTCTTAAAAATACATTTTCTTTTTATTATTACAGTAGAACTCATCCCAGGACTGGCAAACAAACAAATAAAATGTAACTCAAATAGCTTAACTGAAGTAGAAATTTCCTGTAAACTGATTTGAAGCATAATTGAGAATTTATAAAAATCAAACATGAAATGAAGCATGTCTTCTATGAGTAAGATATTTAGAAGACAAAGGATGGAGTTAATAAGATTACAGTGAACAAATACATGCATGCCAATAATTAAGAGTTTACCATATATGGTATATGCACAGATTGATTTCTATATTTTAAAGGAAGCAAAAAGGTACAGGAAAAAGAAGATGGAATTTTGAAAAATAAAACCTGGATTCAAGTTCAACTTCTATTTCTTATCACTTGGGTGGTGTTAGCAACTACAAAATAAACTTGTAATAGACTTTTATAAATTTAGAAAATGAATAAAATGATAAAAACAAATCAAATGAGATAATGCATGCAAGATACAGTAGCACTTTTAACAGCTGGCAGTGTTTTTTTTATTGTATATGTATATCACAATCTGTACTAGGGATAAACATTTAGTTTGTCTCCAATATTTTGCCCTTCCAATGTGCCTTTGAAAATATTTCAGCATGTATGTCTACAAATAACCACATACTGTTGGATTACAGGGATGAATATAGTCAAGTATTTTCAAATTACTCTCCAAATAGTGGTTTCACTGATATGCATTTCTACTAGCTGTATCTTTTGCTTTGTTTTGTTTTTGGTGCCAGGGGGATTAAACTGTGTGCTGTCCCCAAGCTTTATTTGCTAAGCTAGCATTCTACCACTTGAGCCACAGCTCCACTTCCAGTTTCTTGGTTGTTAATTGTAGATGAGTGTCATGGACTTTCTTGCCAGTGCTGGCTTTTAACCATAATCCTCAGATCTCTGCCTCCTAAGTAGCTAGAGTCACAGGTATGAGCCACTGGTGCCAGGCTTAACTACATTTTCTTTGCCAACATTTATACTGTTAGCTTTTAAATTTTAAAGAAACATTTACAACCTTTGATATTTAAAAAATAAACTTCCTATAGTAAAGTTCTTAAGTTTTAAAAACTCTCATATAATCATTAACTGTAATAAGCTTCCATATTGTAGATTTGCTTTAATGTAAACAATAGTATTATGAAACTGAGATGGATGGAAACTTTGGATTGCTTGGCTGTGATAAGATGAAATGAATTACTATGTGTCTAAAGCAATAAGATTTTACCAAAGCCATCAACTCTTTTAGAAACAATGAGCAGAATGAAATATCAGAGAAATAAGTTTTTAGCTGTAGTAAATGACAACTGGATCAAGATACAAATGGACTGCTATAAGATCACATAGTTGGTTCGGGTGATCCTTGAATTTTAGTTGCTAGACTTAGCATAAAGCAATAATCAATTCTCTGATCTGAAGACAAGACAAAACAAAAACAATAACAACAAAACCAAATAGACAAGAGATGGTTTAACTTGCTGTTACTGTTGGGATATAAGTATTCCCCCAATTTTTGGGGAGGCTGTGAAATCTTTAGGAGGCGGGGCCTACTTGTATGAAATAGGCTCCTTGAGTATCCCTATGAAGATGAAACCTGGTTCCCAGATTTTGCCTTGCTCCATCTCTGCTTCTTGACTGGCATATCAATTGGTTTCTTCTCCCATGGGTTCCCTGGCATGACTAATTGAAAATGAGCTAAAATACTTCCTTTTCTCTTTCATGTGTTCCCATTTGCTATTTGTTCACAACAATGATAAAACTAATTGATTAATACATCTGTAGATAGGTGGTTTTAACTCATGAGGTACTAATGTCTTTCTCAACACAGAATATGATATGGAGAAGAAATGTGTTTGGATGCAAGCTCTACGAGCATCTCTCGAGCACAATTCTCATAGCACTGCTTTGTGGGCAATATCATGGCCTGTTGTACACTGGTCCTGGTGATATTAAACCTGACTGAGAAAATACGTCATTAAGGAACTGCTTTATAAGAAGCAGGTAAAGAGGAGAAGGAGAATAAATAACAGAGGTGGGGAGATGGACTGGAATACATTGTAGACATGCATGGACATGTCACAACCCTCCCCCCTTATATAACTAATGTATACTAATAAAAATATTGCTCATTTGTGAAGCCACCTGTTGATGAACTTATTATGCAAAACTGAAACAAGTGCTGAATTTATACCTCATCTTCATCATAGTTTACAAAATTAAAGGCTTTTCTTATACTATTAGACATTACTTAAAAAGAATCTTTGCATTACAGATACATACTTCAAAGGTCTAGAACAAATAGTGAAACTGTTTGTTGGTTTGTTTTTTGGTAACAGGTTCTCACTTTTTCCAAATAATTTTTAAATGGTTATTTTTTCTTTTAATTTTATTAATTATATTTCTTTATTTATTTTATGTGGTACCAGGAATTGAACCCAAGGCCTCATGCATGCTAGGCAAGCACTCTACCACTTAGCCACATTCTTAACCTCATTTTTTAAATATATTTTTTATTGTAAAAATACTGTACAGAGGGGTTATAGTTACATGAGCAAGTCATTTTTTTTTAGACTGGCTAGAAACCTTAGGCTCAAGAGTAGCTGGGACTATAGGTATGTACCATCATACTCAGCTGCATGAAAGTTTTATGACAAGGAATACTTTGATGCTACAGAGATATAACAGTACCAGAGGAAAAAAATGTACAGGTAAATGTAGATAAAAGCCAAAGTAAACTGAGATGAAAATGGTCTGCACAAAACTTTAAAACATTAAAAAATTAGAAGGTATTTTCTGAATTGGACTTTTGTTAGAAAAACTACTCAAGACTTCAATTATTTTGAAAAATGAAAAAATAAAAGGCATCATATAAAAACTGAGCTAAAATATTTAACTTACATTGATGGCTGAAGAAGAAGTGGACAAGTTTAAGCCTTCAAGATCAGTGATCACACTTGGAGAGAGAACTGGTGTGGGAAATGAGATTGGAGTAGATGCTGGACTGACTGAAAAAAAAAGTTCAAATTAACAAATGTGCATGAAAATTTAATTCAAATTATTAAAAGCAACATTTTTATTTTGTTAGTAAATCTAATTAAATTACTTTGATTAATAAATGTATGACAATTCTATTTTACATGTTGATTTAGTCAAGTTATTATCAAGTCATGGCAGTTATGAGTCTTAACTTCCAAAACATAATGGCAAATCCTATAACAAAATAAGAATGTAAATATCCTTTATAGTGATCGTTTTTGAAAATTTTTATTATATAACATTTTAGCAGCATTTATCACCCAGAAACTTTACTAGAAAAAAAAGGTGAAGAAACATTTTTCCACACTAATAATCAAGAATAACATCCTTTGAGAGAGTTCTACAGTTGAGTCACAAATCCTAAATCATTTCTGTATTTCTTTTTCTCTGTTATAATTAAGAGTCCTGGCTACCTAACTCCCTTCTAGTCATACTTTGTCAGAAAAATTATATTCTAGAAAGAATGTATTGCTTATTCTAAAATTGGCATGTACTTGAAAAAAATACCTGTAAATTTGAAAAATCTTTTAATAGTAAGTCTAATCATGTCGCTCACTTGTCTGAGACTTTTCTAAGCTCACACTCACCTCTCAAGGTTCAACTCAAGTGTACTAGGTCCTCAATATGCAGCTACCCTACCAGCTACTCTAGAGACAAAGCCCTCCTTAGTGTACCTAATATAGCTTCTGTGTTCCTTTTTGGTCTCACAAATCTGTAAGGACAGACTTCTATAACTCTGCTTCTCAGATAACATAAATTTGTGCCTTTATATATTTGTACTGTGTGTTTGTGTGTTATGTGCTAGTCCTGGGGCTTGAAATTAGGGTTTAGGCTCTGTCCTGTAGCTTTTTTTGCTCAAGGTTAGCTCTCTAGCCACTTGAGTCACAGCTCAACTTCTAGCTTTTTTTTGGTGGTTAACTGAAGAGTCTCATGTACTTTCCTGCCCAGGGTAGCTTTGAACTGTAATCCTCAGATCTCAGCCTCCTGTGTAGCTAGGATTACAGCTTATAAAAAGAGTAAAAAAGGGGAAAACAGAGAGAGATACACTCGGAGACATAAGAGAGACAGGAAGGACTGAAGGGGGGAAGAAGGAGAGGAGAGGGAGAGAAAGTGAAGGGAAGAGAAGTGAGAGAAGGGGAGGGGAAGGGAGAGGAGAAACACACAGCCCCAAAATTGTATTACCAACCAGGAAAACTTTTCAATGAATCTAAATACATATACAATTAGGAAAAGCAGAGCTGAGAGTTGGTAGAGGAAGCAATGGTGGCCTTTAGTTCCCCAACCTGCATTTACTTAGTGACTGAAACATTGCTACAAACCCTAAGCTTCCTCAGACTTACATAAAAACCACTGTAAAAGCCATGAAGAGAAGGAGGGAAAAAAGGAGAGAGGGAGAAGAGAAACAATACAAGAGGAAGAAAGGGGAGTGAGGAGGAGAGGGACAAGAGGAAGGGGAAGTGGGGGAGGGAGAGGGAAAGAGAGGGAGAAACAGAGATACATACAGAGACAGAGAGACATACAAGGAAGGGTTGGGGGTGGGGAGAGGGAGTGAGAGAGAAGGACACAGAGAGGTGAATACCACCAATGGCTAAAAAGGGGCTTTTTAAAAAAGAATGGATCCGGGCTAGGAAGGTGGCTCAGTGGTAGCGTGCCTGCATGCATGAAGTCCTGGGTTCAATTCATCAGCACCACATAAGCAGAAAAAGCCGGAAGTGGTGCTGTGGCTCAGGTGGTAGAGTGCTCACCTTGAGCTGAAGAGCTGAGGGACAGCGCCCAAGTCTAGAGTTCAGGCTCCACGACAAAAAAAAAAAAAAAAAAGAATGGATCTAATTTTTAGGTAAGGATTGGATTTGCAAAAAGAAAAAGAATCCAGTTAATTATTTGATGAGAATATTGTAAATGAAGTGGGAACTGAAAAAACTAAGAGAGTTGGATTTACCTTCTAAATAAACTATTAAATTCTACGAAACAGGAAGGACATGGTAAATATGGTGCTGTAGGATGATTAATCTGATGGCAGTTTAAGGGACAGACTGAAGGATAGAGGTCAAAAGGACTCAAGAAAGATAACAGTGAGAAAGCTTCAAAGGGTATACATATTAAAGACACTGGCAACTGAGTTACAGGGAGATTAAGACTTACCGAGGTCACAAAAAAGCAAATGGTTGGAACCATTACAGAATTAGAACCTGGTTCTTCTAACCTGGATGGCATATCAAGTTGCCTTTGTACGTAATCTGTGATGTTTTTCTGATGGGTTCTAAATGCATGCTTGTTCATAGTTGGTCTGTGTACATCTATCTATCCATCCAATCTGCCATCACCCATCTATTCAAAACATCAACTGCTTATACTATGAAGGATAAAACAGTGAAAAAGAAATAACTTCTGATTTCTAGTATGTCTTGGCTAAATTCATCAAAGCTGTGTGGTAGCATACACTTGACACCCCAGCTATGCAAGAAGCACAAATAGGAGGATCTAGTTCTAGGTCAGCCTGGGTGTAAGTGTGAAATCCTATTAACTGAAGTAAGAGAACTGCAGGTGTGGCTCAAGCAGTAGAGAGCTTGCTTAGCAAGTATAGGGATCTATGGCCACTGCAAAAAAAAAAAAAAAAAAGATAGAAAAGAAACTCACAAATTACATGATTAAAAAAAGCCTTTAATATTGTATTAGAAGACAAAAAGTTTTGGTGTGAGAAGAATGTATACACACACACATACACACACATGTATGTATATGCAGACAAAGAAGCAAGTGATAAAAGTTATCTTCAGATAACTTTTGGAAGGCAATTGGCATATGCTGAGAATTTGAAGCCATATGTCAGAATGTTAAGCCAAAGTGTTCACATTACAAACCCCTTCCCTCCCCTTCCCTCTCTTTTCTTTTCTCTCTTGTTTGGTGCTGGTCCTGGGCCTTTAACTCAGGATTTGAGCCTGGTCTCTGAGCTTCTTTTGCTCCAGGCTAGTGCTCTACTTACTTGAGCACTCAGACTTTCCTCCCTGGCTGTCTTCAAACCATGATCCTCAGCTCTCAGCCCTCTAAGTAGTTAGTATAATAGGCAGGAGCCACCAGCACCCAGCTCATTTTTTCTTTTTAAAACTGACTAAAAACTACTTATTTCTTTGCTAAGTATTTTTAGTATAGTAATTATGTGGTCATTCTTCTAAGTTTCAAAGCTTCAACATTTGAGAATAGGCTATATACTCAGTGTATCATGGTTTGATACACAGCAAGCTAATGTGTAGTTAATGTAGTCACCTGCTGTGGCTGTATCCTTCACTGATGAAATGGGGCATCATCATTCACTGTTGTTGTCATCACTGACCCTTAGAAAATGCTTGTCATGTCCAAGGTGCACATTTAAAGTGCTTTCACATGTAGCAACACATATAAACCTTTTGAGATGAAATCAATCTAAGAGTATTAGTAAATTTCAGTTTGTACATAAAAGAATAAAGCACAGAGAGGTTAAGGAAGTTATCAAAGTTAATATGGCGAGCATTAACAGAACTAGGATTCGAACCCACATAGCTTAGCTCCATTGTCTTCTTAGTCACTCCACTCTCCTGCCTAGACCACATTCATTTGTTAATGTAATCTCACAGATTATAAGGTTTGTCAGATGGAGTTATTATTGGCTAGTAGATATTCTAAAAGGCTTCAGTTAGTTGTGCTAGTTATGACATAGGTTTATATTTTTTTAAAAAGAACTCCAGAAACATGACTGATATTTTATGGTCATCTTACTGATATCAAATGTATAGAGTACTAAGGTACTGAAAGATATTGTAATTTCCAGCGCTTAAAAAAAATACTTGAAAACAAAGGAATTGCTACCTTTAGTCATATATTATCCCGGCATAAATATTTTCTCATGTATTATCAGATGATATCCACAAACTTCAGGTAAGTTAGAGAGACACTTCTGACCACGACTTTTACTTGGTCCAGCATACCTTCTCTCACTCTGTCCTGTTGCCACCAATTGTGTAGATAATGCAAGACTTACACTTATACCAGAGGCCACAGACTGTAAGAGCACTCTGCATCAATATCTCTCATGTAATCTATAATGTGGCAATCTTACTGCTAACATTATGGTCTGATATGAAGTGTCCTTCACAGGCTCATATCTTAAAAACTTGGTACCCAGCTCATGGCACTATTTTGGGAGGTGCTTTGGAAGCATCAGTTGATAGAGCCCAGATGAAGAAAGCAGGCTAAAGTGTTTGTGAGGACAATCTTTGAAGGGTACCCTGTCCTTAACTCTTGCCTGTCTTTGTGTTTGGTTCCTAGATGCTATGAGGTGAATAGCTTACTCCTCCACACATTCTTACTGGCAGGATGTGTTGTCTCACTTCAGATCCAAAGTAAGGGAATTGGTAGACTACAGACTGAAACTTCTGACACCATGAGACAAAATGAATATTCTATCCTTTAAATTTTTCTCTGAGGATTTGTCACAAAGACAAAAAACTAACACACCGATTTATCTGTTCTCTTTTTACTCTGAGATTTCCTTTGGTAGGGACCCTGTTATTTAGCATCACTAGAATGTAGATTACCTGCATGGAAAATATTCAATAAATATTTTGTGAATAAAGAAATGGTCAATTTTAAAATCTGCAGTTTTTTCTGGTATGCAGTATATATAAAGCAAAAAACAAAAGAAATGTGTCTGCTGCTCTCTTCAGGATTGAAATAACCCTCACAAGCTGAGATCTCAGCCAGGATGGCGTGTAAAACTACCTTGTGTGTACTCAACACACTAGAATGAAGTCAATAGAGCCTTGTACGTATGTTTAACTCAACTCAGCTCAGACTTCTTTCATAGATCTTTGTAGCTTAAAATTTTTGTTGTGGTTGGTACTGGAACTCAAGGCTTTTTGTTGAACTCAGGGCTTTATACTTGCTTGGCTAACTTGTTCACCTGCCATTTTTCCACTTTTGTCATACTTCCAGACAAGTGTGTCTCTGTTTATTTTGGAAATAAGTATTGTGGACTTTTCTGCCCAAGCTGGTTTTGAACTATTTTGTGAATTAATTAATTTACTTATTTATTCCTGTCCTGGGGCTTAAACTCAGGGACTGGGTACTGTTCTTGAGTGTTTTTGCTCGAGGCTAGTGCTCTACCACTTGGGCCACAGATCTACTTCTGGCTTTTAGGTGGCTAATTGGAGATTAGAGTCTCAATGGTATTTCCTGCCCAGGCTAGCTTAAAAAGTGATCCTTAGTTCTCAGCCTTCTGTATACCTAGGATTACAGGTTCCAGCCCAGTTCCTTTGTAGATTTTTAGTGGATGTTTGTCTCCTTCTTGTTCTTAGCATACTTTGGATCTCTATTTTTTCTAATATAATAAAGGTATATATATATGTACTGATTCATGTTATCTGGTTCTGAGATTGGCCTTTTAATTTCTGCAAGAGAATGACTAAATTCTATTTATCTGTAAGGGTACCCAGTAAAGAACCTTGCACTTAGAGGACAATTCATCTATAAACATTTGCTGAACTGACTTGTTAAAAAGGAATTTTCAAGTGTCATTTCTGACAAATGTAGATCTATAAAAGATTTTTCAATAATTTTTAACTCACAGGTATTAACAATAAAGATGTATACACTACTTAAGACACATACATATATTTAAAAATTGCTTTAAAAATGAAAAAAATCTTACCTTTAAATTCTTAATTTTTTAAAAGAGACCTTTGTTTCTATATAGAAAAGTATATTAAATCAATTATGTATTTTCAGGTTTCCATTATTTACATGTTTAGTATCATTTACTTTCAATATTAAAATAAACTTCTGCAGTTTACAAATCCCTACTCCAAGATAATTTGTTAGTATTAAGTAGACTATGTAGCAGTAGTGACTTGAGAGGCTGCCATCAGAGGGTCTGGGGACAGCATTCTTAGTAGAGAACAGTAGGACAGAAGTCTTGGCAGGAGCAATACTGGTATGTTTGAGGAAAATAAGAAGCAGATAGTTTGAATCGTAGATAAGAGGCAGTAGGAGTCAAGCATCTATGGTCTTAGAAACATAGGAAAGGAGCACAAAATTTAGTCTAAATGCAGAATTAAGCCATTGATTTAAAGGTTTTAAAAACAAGGAAGCATTATAGAATTGTAATCACTTTATACAACGATTTAATAATAATTTTCAAAAACTTATAAATTCGGAAATGGTGTTCAGAAATCATACAATGATAAAGAGAACAGGCAATTGGCCTCCAGTGCTCCTCTCTACTTCTCAGGATCCGTTATCTTCAAACTTTTCTTTGAAATATGCCATGACTATCTACCACAGTCATGTACAATGCTGACCCTACAGAAGACACAGATTCAACCTTGTCCTTGGCACTGAAGACTTTATAACCCATGGGAATGGTATCAGACAGAGCAATGTGATCCATACCATGAGAGAGAGATGAATTAAGTGCTGGCTTTCAGACCTGAAAGGCCATGAAAGGCACAGGAGCTGTAAATATCAGTTAAGTGTTCTTATTGAATTCCAAGGGCCATAGACAAGGCTCTGGCATAGTTTCTACACTCCAGCTAATAACCATAAGGCCTTTGCTATCTATGTCTACTGATTTTGGTTAGAGGGGGACTGTCCAATTCTTGCTCTGGTTTCAACTCAACACACTGCAACACATCAGTGTGAAGAAGGCACTCCATGGGATGAAGTCACAATTTGTGTCTTTAAGAGACGTGGAGAGAATAGCAAATAAGATCAGACAGACACCTAGAACTACAATGCAGTGTACATGAGTGTCACAGAAGTCTTGACAAAGAGTTTTGATCCTCTTAATGGAGTTCCACCCCTCCCATAAGCTTCTCAAGGATGGCAACCAGGCTTTCCTCACCTCTGCATGGTCTGGATCCAGCTTACTGCCAAACACATGCTATACATTTATTAGATGAATGATGCACAATAAATGAATAAACACACAAAAAAGGGAGGAATAAGACCTGACTTTGTAGTACAGTGGCAAGATAAATTTCCAGAAAATAACTTCTAAATTAAAGGGTACAGAATTTAAACTTTATAGATGCTGCTCAAATAATTCAAAAAAAGCTATTTACATTCCTATGAGGAACATATATATGATATCTGTTTCTCCAAACCTTAGCAACATGTATGATACTAAACAAAATTTTTGCAAATACATAAAATGATTCAAATTCAGATACAAAATTTCATTATTGATACTGGGACTCCGTGATTCATGCCTGAAATCTTAGCCAGTCAAAAGGCTGAGATCTGAGGATGACAGTTTAAAGCCAAATTAGGCAGGAAAGTCCATGACTCTCATCTCTCTTTATTCATCAATATCCTCCCTCCCCACTCAAAAAAAGCTAAAAAACACAAAATGAAAACTTAGAAGTGGAGCTGTGGCTCAGGTGGTATAGTGCTAGCCTTGAGCAAATGGCTCAGAGACAGAGCCCAGACCCTGAGTTCAAACTCTTGGACTGGCACGCATGCACACACACACACACACACACGCACACACGCACACACACACACACACACACACACACACACTATTTGTACAAAATTTTCATCAACACATATAATGTTCTTTGATCATACTACTCAGTCTCCCTGTTATATCCACTTACTCCTTTCTACCAGTACTTTCCTTGGTCCTAATAGTTCCTGCTCTACCTCATGATCTTCCCTGCCCACTAGATGCCACATACGAGAAGAGAAAACATGTAATATTTCACTTTCTGATTACAGTTTATTTCAGTTAACATGATGATCTCAAGTTCTATCCATTTAGAATTCATATGGGATCTATTTCTCCAAACCTTAGCAATAATGGTGGTACCAAACTTTCCTATATTAACTATTTCTTGGTATTATACATTTTAATTACTCTATACTAAGAATTTTCCCTGGCTATTAGAGATAGGCCAAGGAAATAATACAACAGATCAAATCAAGGCAGACTGAGACAACCTAACAATACAACTCACCCTCTGCATGGGAAAGCAACACTGAAAACTGATGGCAGTTTAATATTCCTGAAAATACTTGTTGTCATTTTCTCTTAGTACAAAAATCTCTCTAGCAATAAGTTAGTGTCATTACCTAGCTCTCTCAATGCTGAGTGAATCTTTGTATGCTTGAGTAAGTATATTTGTAGGATTCTTAATTCTTAGAAACAGACTTATAGGGACAATATTTTTTCTTTTTGAGGTAAAATATTTGCATGTATAGATTAACTGACAGACAAAAAATTATTACTCATTTCCATTCCAATCAATATTGTGGCAAGTGGAAGATACTGATGTTCTTTACATTCCTCTACTTTCTTTGTTCCCTACCTACCTCCACAGGTTATGTGTGTGAGATCATACAAGCAACATTTCACAAAGCAAAAACTATAGGATATTCAGTAAGGTAAATATAAAGTAACAAAGTAAAGGACTTCCAACTTAATTTGATATACTTTATTTGGTCACCTGTATTTGTCCATATGACATAAAGCAGATATGCTGAATAGATAAGAGATACTAATAGCGCTAATTTCCAAAAATTATCTTGCCTTATTAGTTGGTATGTCTTTCACAACAGATGTTGATAAAATTTTGTATATGTAAATGAAAGTAACTAGAAAAACATTTTTAAAAAGTAAATGCAGAAGAAAAAATTTAACTTATGATACTTACAATCATCTAGATCTAGAAGTGAAATATCTTTGGTTAGAGGATTTCTATCTTGTTGACCTTTTTTTCCTTTTTCCTATAAAATAAAAACAACTCATTTACATGATATTTTCCTTAAAAATGTATAAAGCACCCTAAGCATTACAAAATGAACATATTTTTCCCCTTTCAATTTTCGTGCCAGTCTTGGGGCTTAATATCAGAGCATGGGCCATTGTCCCTGACCTTGTTTTTGTTTTCTCAAGGCCAGTACTCTACCACTTAAGCCACGGTTTCACTTCTGGCTTTTTTGGTGGTAAACTGGACATAAGAGTCTTACAGACTTTTCTGTCCAGGCTAGCTTTGAATTGTGATTCTTAGAGTTCAGTTCCAAGTAGCTAGGATTACAGGCACGAGCCACCAGCACTCAGCCTTCTCTTTTTAGTCTTAGAAACAAAGTAAGATTTTTGTATGGGGTTACATGAAATATGTTTCTAAATCAAAATTTCTGCCTCAACGTACAGTATTTTGTCTTCATTATACAGACTTAATTATTTCAAACATTTTTATGTTTAAAAATTGTGAAGAACTTTAAGGTGATAATTTAAAATTAGGGCTTCTTCCACATAAGATTTGTTTATCCTGTCTAATACATAGATGAAAACCCATATTATCAGAACTAGAATACAGTGCCCCAAGCACTGTACCAATTAATACTAATTAATGTTCATACTTTGTTTATACACTCAGAAAAGATTTACAAACTTAGGAAAGTATAATTAAGTATACAGCAAAGTGGAGTTGTAAACAAGTAAAGATCAACCAAGAATAGGGTGCTGAACAAATATTACTATCAAACAGATTCTGTGCTTAACAATGGAAATAAACAAGCAAGGCAGACATAGTCACTGGCCATGTAAGGCCTGTTGTTTTTAAAAAAAATTAATGCAAAGATGCTATACAGAGCAGTTAGTTCCATGAGTAAGGCAATAAGTACCTTTCTTGTTACTCCTTTGCTTTTCCTCCACTATCCTTTGCCTCCACCCCTGCTACCCCACCCAAAGTTGTGAAAGTTCATTTCTGACCTAAGCATCTTGTGAGTATTGTTGTTGCAATGGGTCATCCTTTGTCCTTGTTTCAGCATTTTGTTATTCCTTTCCCTTCCCAAAATCAGATAAGTGTATATACAAGATGCAGATACCAGAACCAAGGACAGTGATTACCAGGGATAAAGCCTATTGTTAATGTAAATTATTACAAATATTTTTGAAGTATCCCTGTACACTGAGAAAAAAACTGCTGACGCAAAGGATACATTACCATCACTTGGTCTGCCCAGTGTTGGAACTCCTACACCAGTGCTCATGTAGAAGTATGAGTAGTACATAAAATTATATGGTTTATGATACTTTTTGTTTTTGGTGCTGGGTCTGGGGCTTAAACTCAAGGGCCTAAGCACTGTCTTTGAGTTGTTTTGCTCAAGGATAGTGCTTTACCACTTAGGTCATTGCTCTACTTCTTAAAATACTTTTTACTTGATTCAAATTCTGCTTGTTTTATTCGTTATGCCACTACACAGAAAATTATCTTCAAGGATCATGTAATAATCTACAGTAAAATATTTATACAGATTAGCACCAATTTTCTCCCTCAGGATAATTTTTTTTTTCTGGTCCTGAGGCTTGAACTCAGGGTTTGGATGCTGTTCCTAAGCTTCCTTTGCTCAATGCTAGGCTCTACCATTTGAGCCACAGTGCCTTATTTTTTTGAATAGTTTAATGGAGATAAGATTCTCATGGACTTTCTTTCCCCAAGCTGGCTTCAAATCATGACCCTCAGATCCCAGCCTCCTGAGTAGCTAGGATTAAATGCCACCAGTATCTGGCACCCTCAGAATAATTTTATCTGCCACTAAAATTTAAAGAGCTTAGCTAGGTTTTAATTTTCATTCTTTATCTAAAAACAAAGAAGTATTTCCCTTTACTCATCAAAGGAATAATAATATCTAGGGCTAAGGAAAAAAAGTAGAAAAAAATGTTAGTTTTGAGGCTGAAATTTAAGAATCATAAGTTAGTGAAAACATTATCAGAATGAAAAGGCCATTTCAACTAGAATATCACTCTTGTGAAAAAGAATGTATAACAAAAAGATGTGACTGATTAAAATGCTGTATTGAGCACAATGGGTATAGCTTCCTATAAGCTACAATGGTGCATGACTGTTTTTATGGAACTCTAACTTCCCCACCTGAAAAATTAGAAACCTATGAAATCAAGATAAAGTTAATGCTGAAGGCAAGTCTATACCTTATTTTCTACTTCACAGCCAACAATGTATAACACTATCTATTAAATACCCATCAGGTCACATACAACACAGAAGAGAGCTGCATGTGAAATTGGCATAATCTCTATTAGAAGGCTAGAAGAGAAAGACAAAAGGCTTTCAAAAAGACAGAATTTCATTGACTTTCTGAGAACAGCAAATAACCAGTGACTGAAATACAACATTAGCAACAGATAATGGTCATTTCTACTGAATTGAAAAAGCCTTGCATTCTGAATCAAGGCTATAAAATGCTTCATAATGTGTTTGGTATTCCTCCCTTATATTTCATTTTCACTTAAAAAATCCATAGTAAGTTCAAAATATTTTCACACTTAAAAAGATCTACTATAAAAATAAAAATCTGAATTCTAAACAAAGAAGTTAAGAGCTCTATTCTATCAAACATTTCTCCATTTGCGATTCATCTTGGTAATAGAGACAGAACCTGGGTAAATGCATATAGGACTTGAGGCAGGAGATTTTTCTTGCTCAATGCATAATTCATGTGCTCCGCCTGCAAAGTGTGTAAAATGAGAATTTCACACCGCAGCATGAGCCATGGAGCTGCAGAGAAAAGGCAGATGAAATCATATTTTACTGTGTGAATTTTATTTCTAACCTCCCAATATTTATACAAAACCATCATTGACAAACCAAATACATTGACAGATCACCCACTGTTTCCATTGTGTTAGTACTTGAGAAGAGATCAGGCAGAAAGATAGACAATTTGTTTTTGTATATTTTTTAAAAATAGAGGATCAGGTTTTTAACAGCTGAGTGATTGTATTAGACTTTTATAAGGACAACAGTAACTGATCTTAAGATCTCACTACAGAAAAATGCCTATTTATCAATTCATCATCCTCAAAACTCCATTTTGTCTCTATGGTGTTCAATTATATACCTCAACACATCAACATTTCCAAAATGAAATGAAATACAGAGTCACAGGGTTAAGAAATTGATTTCTATTTATGTATTTTATTTCAAATCATAAAAATCATACAAATATCTGTTAAATTACAAATAATACAAACATAAATGTAACAATATGTAAATATATATATATATATTACATGTTAATTTTCATATTAATTAAGTAGAAAAAGATCCAACAAGAATCATGAGGCTTTCATTATAAAGAGGTTTGAGATTTAAAACGATAAGATAGGGCAAATAGAACATAAAGTTCATCAAACTCATACTATGCTTTGAAATTTAAACAATTTAAGGCTAATTTCTGGTCTCAGGGGGTGAGATATCTGCTTGAAATATTTTCAATTAGGATTACCCACCAAGGGCAATTTAATGACTCTCTTCTCTTCAAATAATCTGTCAAATTTGATTTAAAAGTCTGAAGCTCACACTTAAACTTGCACCTTAAAACAAAAGTACAAAGCCAGCAAACTAAGACTTCTTTAATTAAAGGCAGTTTAAATGGTAAAACAAATATTCCCTTATTTGAATTATTTGAATTATATCTACATTAATAACAAGGCTTGCTAAACATCACTCCCTTCTAAATCTAAATTGAAATCAAATGATATTTTTATTTTGAAAAATATGAAATAAACAAGGAATGACAACTTGATGAGGCAAAGCTTAGTGTTCTGAGAGTAAAACCCAGTATTTTCATTAATCATAGAAGTTATATAACTGCAACATACATAATGCTTCAAGGCATAAATTTAATATTTACTTCCTATTTCTCAAATAGAATCAAAACCAGGAAACTGACATTGAGATGCTAGTGATCATACAAGAGCACTTCAGAGATGTCATCAGTTTCTCTATACCTCTCAAGAACCAGTAGACTTGTTAGATATATAACATGAGACAATGACCACACATTCACAACTTCCAGGAATATTTACATGGTAGTACACATATTAATCTTATGATTCAGATACGGAAATATTCTTAATAGTAGATGTTAAATGCAAATACACTAACTGCTTTATTTCATACTGGCAGATCATTATACTGTATATGCAGTTAATATAAAACTAAAATGTTAATAATAAAGGAAAATAGATAACTTATTCACAATAAATACTAATCATGATTTAAAATTATGATTGCATTTATCATGAATTATTTCAATCTTCAGGAACTGTTATAGATAAAATTAGAATGTGCACCACAGTACGAACACTCTAACATGTGGGTTATTTGTAAGAAACACTGAAGCACAGGTTCAATAGAGGAGAAGACCTGGAAAACTTCAAAACATCATTTTGAATGATTCTACCATCTGTTCAACACATACTTTAAATACCAACAGAATATAACTTAGCTATATTGGTAAAAAACAGGATTTATTCATATAAATTTCTCTTTTTCAGACATGGGAATGTGTCTACATTATTAATCTTTCTCTTTTATAAAATGATTTTCCTTTCGAATTGTAAAATATGTGAAAGCACTTCGAATGAGAACTGTTCTTGCTATAGGTGTTATTTGAAGCAAGATAATTATTTGATTAAAAAGTACTGTGCTCAAAATGCCTCTCAAACATACTTCAAAAAAGAATACCTACACATAAAATGCATGTTAGTCTATCAAAATAACTATAACTGAAACAAGATAATTATTGTGATCAATTTTTACAATATCTGAAATCAAATGAGAATGTCTCTTAATCAATAAATAACACAAAGGACCAATCATAAAGCCTAAATGTTGACTACAGTTTTGCGTCTTATAGATATACTGAGGCATTAAATAACAAACAATTTAGGAACAATCAATCCAGTAAGGTTCTACCCACTTTCTACTGTCCCTGCACCATTCACATGAGTGATTCCCTCTCATCAGGAATCATTCATTCCTTACAGTCACTGTCAACTAAGAGAAGTGGAAGCACCACACTCTGGCATGAGATTACTTTCTCTTCAGCTTGTATTTTCTATAGTAAGAATCGGGTAATTGCATAGAAGGATGGGCTGGAAAAACGTTTGTCTAAGGATGGCTAAGACAAAGGGGCTATGAAAGTAAGAAAGGTGGACACAGAATAGTCAGAGTGGGACAGGAAGAAACAGATATGAGGAATCACACATAGAATCTAGAGGACTTGCAACCATTATTTCTTCTGCAAAAAGAATACTGCAAACAAATGAGACAGCATGTTTTTTGGCTGTACTAGTTTATCAAACCAGTAGTCCCCAAAAGGCCTAAAAATCTGGTCTGAACATAGAAAAGCTGAAACTGTAGAAACTGATTTTACTATGGAAGTAATTTAATGGGACCTACAGTTGTGAAATGCTATTTCACTCCCCCTCCTCTCTTTCAATGTTGGAAAAGATGGGTACATTGGATAGCAAAAGAAGAAACAGTAAGACAGTCACGTACAAAGCAGGCAGAAGGTAGATGACTATCTTAATTAAATGAATAAGATCACATGCTGCAACTAAGGGATCACAACTGAAGACTGACTTAAAACTTAAATGGTGAAAAAGTAAAAATTACAGGACGCAAAGACTGCAAAAAAGAAAATTAGGTTCCTTTTTGCATTGGTATGCTATCAGTATAATACTGTTGATCTTTCATGAAATTAATATTCAAATTAAAAAGTGATAAAATTTTTTATAGTTATTTGGTTTTTTTACTGCTCTTTCACATTTGATTTTTTAAAAATAAAGTGGATATCAGTATTCTACTTTATAGATGAGCAAACTGAAACATAAAAATCTTCTCTCCAAACAAGTAGAATACTATATTTATTTCACAGGACCATTATAAAAACTGTTTTGAAAGCCATATAATCAAAGTACCTCCCAAGGTCTCATTTCCATGCTCAATGCCCCCCAAGTATATCGTCCAAATGAAAGAAAAAGAGAAAAAGTATAGATTTAGTTAGGTTGTAGATTTAAGGCATATGAATTTTCAGCACCAACACACTGTCATGCTAAATTATGGTAAAGCACCCACCATCTGCCTTCATTACTCATAATTTGTAGCAGAAGCTACAACACTTGGGGCAAGGAGGACTTTTCCACAATTGTAGAGTTGCCTATTATTGGAAAACTGATACATTGCAATCATATGGTATACCCCAAATCATTAAAAAAAAAGCAGAAATAAATAATTATGGTAGCTTCAAAGTGAAGACTATTTCAATTTCATATATTAACGCAAAATAAACACAAAACAGCAACAAAAACCAAAAAACCTAAGAACAAAAAGAAAAGAAAGGAATGACCAACTCTTTCTGCCTATCATAGATGGGAAAAGACCCTCTAATACAGAGAAAATAATTTATCTGAAGAAAACAAGTAGACACAAAATCATCATCAAGCTATGGCCTGGGTTTTTGAAGGTTCTTCCTCATTGCAATGCCTCTCACTTTTACAATGAAGTTCTACAATGTTGTAAACTAATTAAGAGATTGACTTTTATCACTGAAATGTTTAAAAAGAAGAAACAACTGAATTGCTGATTTAAAGTGCCCCTGTGATTTAATAAGTACCAAAAACTAAATAGGCACTAAGTCCACCTTTTTTCAACTTTTGAAAAACCTTTTAAGAATAACTATTTGTCATTCATTGGTATTTTTGCTGTAATGTTTTAAAACTCGTATTTTATTCTGGATTATATTTGCTGTCAGCATCCAAAGTAGTTTATGAATTTTTCCTCTTTTGTTGTCAGTTTTTTGTTTGTTTTTCTATTTGATTATTTTTTTAGGCTGCTTGAGGCTGAATTCCCATGTGACCTTCCTTTCCTCAGGCTCCTGAGTAATGGGATTATAGGCATGACCTACAAGTCAGCTAATGTATTCTCTAAGTTTCAATTCTAGTATTTTCTAGTCTCAAGAAAAACTGTGAATTTTTAAAGTAAATAGAAAATGAGGATATACTAAATTAACTGTGAGATAAGTTTTAATATGAGGCCAGTCAATAAATCATAAAATCTCTTACGTGAATTTTGGAAAAACAGAAATCTTAAAATTCTGTAGCACATATATCCAAGTTTAAGTATAAATTTAACTATAAAATAAGTTCTGATATATGAAAGAATATTCCAAATAAGGTAAGAAAATCACTAGTCATATTTTAAATAAATATGCTTATTCTTTTACAATAGATCTCTAGATGGAAGGGATTGTAGTTTTTAATGAATTTATATTCATCCTAATCTACTCAGATGCCATTCTGAAGAAATTCAAATTTCACAAAATAAGTAGATGAAAAAAATACTGGGTTAGATGTCAGACATTGGTGGCTCATCTCTGAGATTTGAAAATTGTGGTTTAAAGCAAGCCTAAGCAGAAAAGTCCTTGGGATTCTTATCTCCAATTAACCACTAAAAAGCCAAAGTGGAGCTGTGGCTCATGTAATAGAGTGCTAGCTATCCTTGAGCACAAAAACTCAAGGACAGAGCCAGGCCTTTAGTTCAAACTCCAAAAACAGAGTTAGGAAGAAACTGATTTCCATTAAAGTAAACCTATGATTATTAATTTCAACACATAGAATAATAAAGTTTACATATAAAGTTACTATACTTGAAGTCAGTGTTATCTATTTGCCTGAAAGGGATGATGATTTGAGAAAACTTTACATTAATAGCTTCATTTAAAAACACTACATACTTTTACTATATGTATGTGTACATATGTATTTTGGTTGGTGGGTATGGAACTAGGATTTGAACTCAAGACTTGCTGCTTTCAGGGCAGGTATTCTACCACTTGAACCATGTTATTTTTGAAGTAAAGCCTTGTCTTAAGACTGGGCTGGCCTAGGCTGTGACTGTCCTACTTATGCTTCCCCATGCTGCTAGGGATGTCAAGTGTGAGCCAATACACTGAGCCACTGTGTCTCCCTTATACCTGGGACAACAGGTGTGTGCCATTACGCCCAGCCACTGGCAGAAATGGAGTTTCAAGAACTTCTTTTTGCATGGGCTGGCCTTGAACCACAAGTCTGTGATCTCTATCACCCCAGTATCTAGGATAGCAAGCTTGAGCCTAATGTCTCTAGCTACATACACTTTTATATAAAAAAAAGTTCAGTGTTACAAATGTTGTATTAAATAGCACTATTATCCTATAAGTTGATTGTTTAAATAAATGGCTACTGAATTTCTGATTTAAATAATATATACCTTTTAAAATTTTAAAAAACATTCTATCATCCAATAACATTATTAAATGTCTAAACTTTACCAAAGCATATTGGTTATTTTTTAAGCATTTAAATTCTTTTGTTCAACAGTATTTCTGCAGCTTCCTTTCACTTTACTTTTAGCAAAAGTCTTCCTGTCACAACCTAACCAAAACTTTTAGTGGCCACAAGATGAACTCAAAATCAATCCTGAACTTTTCTGTAGAGCTGAGTTATAAAGGAAAGGTTTATTTAGGGTTTAAAAAAAAAAATCACACGAGAAGGTGGCTCAGTGGTAGAGTGCTTGCCTTACATGCATGAGGCCCTGGGCTTGATTCCTTAGTACCACATAAGCAGAAAAAGCTGGAAGTGGTGCTATGGCTCAAGTGGCAGAGTGCTAGCCTTGAGCTGAAGAGCTGAGGGACAGTGTCCAGGCCCCAAGTTCAGAATCACAACCAACAACAACAACAAAAAAAAATCAAAGCAATGGGAAAATAATGGTGACTTTTTTACTCTACTTGTTAGTAATTTAAATGTTAGTAAACAAATGTTAACTTCTGGTTTAGTTTCTTGGTTTTCAACAAAACATTAAATGTTCAATAATATGTATGCTTAATTGGAAAAGGTACACCTATTTACCTTAGATTATAATAAATGTGCCATCTCAGGCTGGGAAGGTAGCTCAGTGATAGAGCACTTGCCTTGCAAGCATGAAGCCCTGGGTTCGATTCCTCAGCACCACATAAGCAGGAAAAAAAAGCCGGAAGTGGCGCTGTGGCTCAAGTGGTAGAGCGTTAGCCTTGAGTTGAAGAGCTGAGGCACAGCGCCCAGGCCCAGAGTTTGGGCCCACGACTGGACCCCAAAATTAAATAAATAAATAAATAAATGTGCCATCTCTTACCTTAGTGACTTTTCTGGAGTCAGAGTCACTTTCAGATTCTGATTCTGATTCAGAATCTGAGCTTTCTTCTAAACTAGATTCAGCATCAGAAGAATCTGAAGTTTTAGGTTTCTCATTTTTCTTCTTGCCATCCTCTATATCACTATGCATAAAAATAAATTTTGAAATAAGAACTATAAATCTTTTATACAGACAATACAATAGTTTTGAAATTCTTGAACATCTAATGTAATAATTATACAGGAATTCATTGTAAACAAAACAGAATCATTTCAAATACAAAAAGTTATACGATACCACTAATTAACATAGTTTCCAACAACACAGAAAATAATACAAAATGTTTGATCTACTAGATGTTGTGTTAACATTAGCATCTACAACAGTATGCTTTTACAATGTTGTTTCAATATACAAACTGTTTCTTGATAAATATTTTATGTTTACTTTCACTAAAACCAACTGTATTTGTAGACTTTTTCTGTCTATAAAACTTATTTATACAAGGTCCCACATGTGACCTGAATTATATTATATTAAAACACCAATTCATTCAGAGAATCAATTTTTTATTTAATTAGCTGGCCTGAAACTTACATTCTTCTTGCCTCTGCCTTATGAGTGCTGGGATTATATGTTATGGTCTAAAAACCTCAGCTCAAAGAGGATTCTTCTAATGTATTAAATCTTACTAAAAATGTAAGATAGTTAAATAATTTTTTAATCACACCTAAGTGCTTAACACATTTGTTCATTATTTCAACTAATATTTATTACTTACATGCTAGCACTACATTATGTACTCAGGCTCACAAAAGGCTAGTCAAATATAGGTATCATTGTATGCCTGCCTAGAATGTCTGTAGTCCATTGGCAGATACAGAAAAGTATGGTGGCAGTGACAATACAGTGTAAGTAATAAGAAAGTATAGTGTGTCTATCATGAGAACACTTAAAGGAGGATACTTAAATAAACTTAAGGTGAACTGAGGAGTTCTACAAAAAGAGTAGTAACATGTGAGATGGCCAACCAAATTATTTTAGGGACATGATATACTTTGAAGTGCTTTATATTCTCCTCCCCCGAAAATTGGAAATCTAGTTCTAGAGTTCTTTCTCTATTTCCCCCCTCCCCCCTCTCTTACATTGTGAGCATGTGTTTAAGAACCTACCTTGGAGAAGCAATGCTAGGCATTTCATGCCAATCATACCAATTATCTAATTTAGATGCTCTCTTCCTAGGTGCATTGTTATCCTGATTACAATAATGAGACTGATACTTAAGAAGGTAAATAATTTGCTTAAGAACACAGAGATAGGAGGAAGAAAAGTAGAATCTGAACTCACATCTAATTCTGAAGTCTGCTTTTCTCCCCATACCATACTATTTTCCTTCATATGAAAATACTTAGACATATAAAATTCAAATTTAGCCATGAATAGTGAACAATTACTAAAGATATGTTACTGTTATTAAGAGCTTTAAATATTATACTGGCAATGTTAAGAAACAATAAGAAATGTTAAGAGACAGGCAGAAAGATACAATAGGGAGAGAGAGTGGTAAGGCAAGGGAAGAATCGATATTTCTCAGAATTGATTTTTGTGGAGGAAATATGATTGCTGTTTATTAAAAATGGAGCCATGGCAACATCTCAGAGAACACGTAATTATATTTGAAGACTAAAAAAAAAAAATGTTGCTTTTTTCCCAGTTGCAAAGACTGGCAAATTTATTCTTCTCAATTCACTGTTTAAAGCATGTACTTACAAATATATGGGTTTAGAATGTACTTGCAGTTTTCTTTGGTATAACAAATAATTGTTTTTAATTAAAACGTGTGACGATAGTACATTTTTTGAAGAAAAATATAAAGTAGCTAATATGTGCTTATAAATTTCTAACATAATGACTTCTGCTGTTTGCAAAGTTATTTAATGTATTGATAAAAAAAATTTCCTTTCTAGAACCAGGATACTTTTATAAACCACATCTTGGTACTCTGATGTTAAGCTAGTATACAATTTTCCTGTTAGAGAAGCCTATTACAAACCAACTAGCTCCTTTGCTGCAACAAGTCAATGAGTCTATATTTAGCTTCAAGCATTTAAGATAAGATTTTTAAATGTAAAAGTGTTATTTTATTATACATCACTCAATTTTGATGGTAATTATTGTTTACCTTACTGCTTAGAGTTTCAGATGTTAATCTAATGAAAAGAATTTACTGGTAACTAGGTTTTTAACTTTGCAATGATGAAAAGCCTGTATTAATTTAACCTACAGATTTCATTTGTTCTGAACAGGAAAAACAATATAAATCACTTTTAAAATCATTAAATCCTGACTTAAATTAATAAAGTCATAATTAGGGCATTATGCTGTGTTTGTTATGGAAGTGGCAGGGCGAGCTGCTTTAATTACTGTCTGTAATAAAAGGAGCAGAGAGCGTACTGCGCCCCAATCAGTGCTGTCAGCCACGACTGAGCCCAAGCTGCAAGCTCATCAAGTGAGCGGGCAGCAGACTGCAGGGAAAGGGCCATCATGCTGGCAGAGGCCACTTGCTGACAGCAATGGGGGAAAACAGAGCCACACAATCCAAGGTATTAGCCCCAATCACTCAAAATTTTAATGACACTTTAATGCAGGATAATGTTGTTGATAATGGGTGATCCTAGAAAGAGCTAATACTTAACTATCTTATGACCGTCTTCCTTCACAGCCTTTGGCTCTTAATATTTGGATCATAATCTTTTAATGTAACATTATTTAGAAAAATCAATTGTCTTAGTTACATAATGGCAAAGTGTTAAGGGATTTAATTTTAGCCTTCAGCAAAATTGCTACAAAAGGTAATTAAGTGTTTCATACCTACTGCTTGATCACTTAGCTCAAGACTTCCAAGGTTATACCAATTTTCAAAATGTAACTCTAAGATTTGTTCAAGTTCAAAATGAAATCTAGGCATTGTAAGTCACAATGTGAATTACTAGCACTTTAAATTAATTTTTAAAATATTTAATGTATGCTTGGGAGAAAATACGTGCAGTAGTTACTTTCTCACTCTGAGTTGAAGGGAAAGTTTAACTAGGGAAAGTGCTATGAAACAGTTTTTGAAGGCTATTATTATACAATACCTTTTTCTTTTGGCTTTGGAGTTCCTCTTGGCTGTTATTTCATTTTCTGCTTCTGATTCACTTGTATTCTCACTCTCCTCACTGAAGGTGTCCTCACTGCTGTCTTCATTGCTGTCTCCTTCCTCTTCACTGTCACTTCCAGATTCACTCCCTTTGAAAAACAAACAGAAAAACCCACATATTCTTTGACTTGAAGCCACCTAATTATACATAAGGACAAGTCCACTTGCACCTGGTAATGTTCATCATGAAGGAAACCAGTATTTTGTTTCAGATGGACCTCTCTTGTTCAACACTATTTTTGCACCTTTTGTTTCTAGACCTATGGGTTCCTGTGGCAGAATGAGCTTGAGACTGAATTTTGAGAGACTCCAATTGATAGAAGATGCTTTGATAGTGGGTAGAGAGAAAAACAAAGCCAAGATGAATCAAGTAAACCAAATTTAAGGGACTCTCACTCTTCAAGCCTGTGAATAGCTATAACATTCTTTTTTTTCAATCTATCTTTCTCTCTTCCTTTCTTAGAATGAAAATAGTATAAAGATAAATAATTGTGAATTCTAATTCCAACTGGAAATTTTTACTTAGAGAAAAATAAACAACAGTTAGATCTTATTTCAAACAAATTTTGAAAGGGAAAATGAGACACTTAAAAATTCAAAAACAAGCAAAATTACTAAATAAGACATTTTATTTAATAAAGCAGTTTTTCATTGATGATAAAGCTACGTTAAGGAACTATATACTTAAATGTATAAATTATGGTATACTAGGACTCTTGATGAAGTAATACATTAAGTATATGTAATTTCAGATGAAGTATATTATTATTTAAAATGATTATAACTGCAGAATTATATTCTATATTAAAGAACAAACTTTGCTCTTGCCTATGATCTATGCAATGGCACACCCTTTAAGTAGAAACTTAGCCTGTAATGAAACAGTATTCTAATAGGTATGTAAGACTTATTTTAGAGATTAAATTCTGTATCACAGTAGAAAGCTATGACTAATTATGTTAGTTTTTCAGAGTAGCTTGTAGTAGGGAAAGAAGGGGTTCTCATGTGACAACGCTGAAATTCAAATCTTGGCTCTACCACATACTAGATGAAAGACCAAGTAAATTGTTTAACCTATGACTCTCAGTTTCCTTTACAGCAGGTGGCAACATCATTATTACTTGACAGGACTGTCATAAAGATTAAACAATTTGAAATTTGTGATGGTGATTATAACAGAACTGCTACCAGAGAAGACACTCACCATCATTACTTCGCAGAAAGAATAAATTCCATTTTATCCAAACTTTACAACACAACGAAACTGATAAATGAAGAGAGTTGGAGCCAGGTGCTGGTGGCGCATGCCTGTAATTCTAGCTACTCAAGAGGCTGAGATCTGAAGATGGAGGATTAAAGCCAACCTGGGCAGAAAAGTCTCCCTGAGACTCTCATCTCTAACTCATTACCCCAAAACTGAAAGTAGAGCCTTGGCTCAAAATGGTAAAGCACTAGGTTTGAACGAAAGAGCTCAGGGACAGGACCCAGGCCCTGAGAGTCCCAGCTTCGTGACTGACAAAGAGTTGAAATTTGTTAGGATATCAGTTATATCATGTATATAGTAAGTTGGGCAACTAGCGCATGTTAGAAAAAATGAAGAGAAATTACGAATCTAAGTATTTTACATGTTATTTACTACATATGAGATCAACATGAGTTTGGATCCAGCTCACTTAAGGAAGTGTTATTTAAATTTACTAGTTAGTGAGAGTCTTCAGGAAATTTCTTCTCAAAAAGATATGTTTTTTTTTTGTTTTTTTGGGGGGGGCGTTCGGTTGTGGGGCCTGAACTCTGGGCCTGGGCTCTATCCCTCAGCTCTTCAGCTCAAGCCTAGTGCTCTACCACTTGAGCCACAGTGCCACTTCCGGCTTTTTTCTTTTTGCTTATGTGGTGCTGAGGAATCGAACCCAGGGTCTCATGCATGCAAGGCAAACACTCTACTACTGAGCCACCTTCCCAACCCCTCAAAAAGATATGTTCACTGGATAATTTATAAGAGAAAAGTTATTTTTTCCTCTGGAAGCTATAATGAACCACATGACTATCTATATGAACTGTAATAAATCCATAAAAATTCAACATTAATGAACTATTTCATATTCAAATTGGAAAAGGTTTATTTAGGAATAGATTTATTTTTATGTAGTATAAAACAGTTATTTAATCCGGCACTGGTGGCTCATGCCTGTAATCCTAGCTACTCATGAGGCTGAGAGCTGAAGATCATGGTTCAAAGCCAACCCAGGCTGCAAAGTTCATGAGAATTTTTTTTTTTTTGGTCAGTCGTGGGGCTTGAACTCTGGGCCATGAGAATCTTATCTCCAATTAACCTTCAGTAAACTGGAAATAGAGCTGTGACTCAAGTAGTAGAGCACTAGCCTTGAGCAGAAAAGCCCAGGCCCTGAGTTCAAGCACCATAACCAACAAAAAACAAAGCAAAACAAACAAAAATAAGTATAGAACTGTATCTCTCACTGGTCTAACTCATTCCCTAAATTCTATACTTTTTAATGTCAACTTTATAGATTGAGGTATTTTTTCCAGTTTCAATTTATTATATAGTTTATTATATAATGTGCCACAGTTAATTTATAGATTCTGAAAACAAAGATTTTGACAAGGAAAATGGGAAAAAATGAATGACTTTAGAGTCAGACAACAGAAAACCAACTAATAATAAGGGGTTATCCAAGAAATAAAAGGTTTATGGAAAGTTGAGTATAATTTGGTTTTTAATCAGCTGTGCTTCTAAGTCTAACTCTTAATATAAAACTGTTAGAAAGTGACTCCAATAAATTGGCAAATCACACAGAAAATTTTGGTAATGAAGAAATTTTAAGAAGACCTACCTCTACCCCTTCAACTGTAAGATAAAAAGATAGGTGCCTTACTTAATTAGCACAGGACTTCTAAATTCTTCCTATTAAGCATTCTTTCAATTCTTTCAATTGCCCCCAACCTTTTTAGCTCTGAAAAGAGAATTCTGAGAAGTTCTAAATTTAGTTTAGAATGGTTGAGAATAAATGGATGAGAAGAGTTTCCATGTAATCTACAGTGTGAATTATTTATATATATAAATATATAAAAACCCACCACTGTCACTGCTGCTATCAGCGGAGTCCTGTTCTTCCTCAGATTCAGAATAAAATTTTTTAGCAGGACTTTCTTTCTTTGCTTTTCCTGATGGAATCCATTCTTTTGCCTGTGTATATATATATAAACAAAGAAAGTAAATGTAAGTAGTTCTCATTAAAGGATTCAGACTTCTGGCAAATGCAGTCATTGAGAATATACTACAAACTCCTAAGCAAGGTCATGGTCTCAACAGAGAAGTCCTGGCAATAAGGTCAATTTATTCAAAATAGAACACAAATTCTCATTCAGCACTCTTTATGCTAACCCCACCTTCCATTAAAAATTTAAAATAATGTCAGAGAGCCTATAAAAATTGAGAGCAATTAGAGATAGATATAGTAATAGCAACAAGAAATCCAAGCTTAGTAATAAAGAGAGAAAAAAGAAAAAAAAATAATGTTGGCAATAAATCACCCTAACCACTTAACATCTTAAATCCTGACTTTTCTCTTTTATCCCAAACATCAAATAACTTTTCTGCCCTGGATTGGCCAACTCTCCCTCCTGGATTATATGACAGTCTCTTAGCTCTATTTCCAATCTGTCCCCACAATCAAAGTTTGTTGAATACAGTCATCAGGATGAATCCATCAAAATCTGACAGATTAAGGTCCTCCTTGGTTTGAAACCTTGTAATGGTTCCCAATTTGATGCAGAGAAGTCTAAGTACTTATAGGAGTGCATGACCTGATAAGACCATCCCTTACACTTACGCTGACCAACCTCTACCACTCTTCTTGCATACTCGACTCCAGTTAGTCCTCACAGTTTCCACCAAAACCCCAGGTCTACTTTACTTGAAAGATTTACCTCTTTACTTGAAATCTATTCCCTCTTCAATACAACCTCCACTTTGAATCAACAGCACTTAATATATTCTTTCCAAAATACTATACAGTTTTTTTGTTTGTTTTTGCACTAGAGTTTGCATGTAGGACATTTCACTTGCTAGGCAGGTGTTCTACCAACTGAATTTGCCCCTAGTACTTTGTGTTTTACTTTTTGAATAGGGTCATGTTTTTCCCTCAGTTGGCCTGGACCATGATCCTTACATTTAGACTTCCCCCAGACCTGGATGAGAGAAACACACCACCACTCCCAGCTCAGTAGTTGAGATGGGAATCTCACTAACTTTCTGACTACAAGCTGGCTTTGAAACAATCCTGTTTTCCTCTCAGTAGATAGTATTACAAGTGTGAGCCACTATGCTCAGCTATTTAATTTCTAATTGTTGGTTATTCAACAATTAGAATGAGCTTCTGGAGAACAGGGATTTTTAATATTTTATATATTTACATATCCTAAGTATGTCTGTCACAATAAATATTTATTACTTTTTTGTTGTTGGTCGAGGGGCCTGAACTCTGGGCCTGGGCACTGTCCCTCAGCTCTTCAGCTTAAAGCCAGTGCTCTACCACTTGAGCCACAGCACTACTTCCAGCTTTTTTTTCCTGCTTATGTGGTGCTGAGGAATTGAACCCAGGGTTCAATGCATGTGAGGCAAGCACTATACCACTGAGCCAATTTCCCAGTCCTTATTACTGCTTTAAAGATTCCAATTTTACATTCAGAAGATAGCTTTGTTTAGATTTAAGGAAAAGATGGACTTTTGTATTCCCTAAATATAGTAGTAATACTGTTTACTAATATTAGCCACTGGAGAGTTTAATACATGTAAGAAAATTTAATATAAGAAAACTGTGACCTTGACACATGATGAAAAATTATTTTCATGTATCTTTAAAGAAAAATGCAAGAAAACTGTAGTGGCTCACACCTGTAATCTTAGCTACTCAGGAGGCTGAGATTTGAGGATCATGATTCAAAGCCAGCAGCCGCATCAGGAAAATCCATAAGACTTTCATCTCTAATAAACTATTCAGAAAAGGCCAGACATGACACTGTGGCTTGAGTGGTAGAGCTTTAGACTTGAGCAAAAAAGCTCAGTGAAAGCCAGGTGCCAGTGGCTCACACCTGTAATCCTAGCTACTGAGGAGGCTGAGATCTGAGGATTATAGTTTAAAGCCAGCCGGGGCAGGAAAGTCCTTGAGACTCTTACCTCCAATAAACCACTAGAAAACCAGAAGTGACACTGTGGCTCAAGTGGTAGAGCGCTTGCCTTGAGCTGAAGAGTGCAGGGATAGTGCCCAAGCGCAGAGTTCAAGCCCCACGACAGACCAAAAAAAAAGAAAAAGCTCAGTGACAGAGCCTAGATCCTGAGTTCAAGCACCAGGAACCTCCCTCCATCCATCCCCATCAAAAAAAAAGGTTAAACTGGTTAATACTCATTTATTATATTTTCAATTGACTTTCTGCAGAATATAAGCGTCTTCTAGGGTACATACCTTACTGTAAAGAAATATATGTAGCTTGACACAGGTTCTTATCCAAAAATGGTTCTCAAAACAGGGTGTACATTTGAGTTTTTAAAACACTAATATAAACAATGAAAATATTAATTCTAACCTCCCAAGATCCTAATTTATTAGAGGCATAGGTTTCAAGATTTCTATGTGATTATAAAGTGCAGCTACAGTTGTAAACTACTGATCTAAAAGGCTTAAGGTATGTAGCTCCAAGAGATAAGCTTCAGTAGCCTTGAAAATTACTATCTGGACATAGGAAACTATGTAGAAATTATTTGAATATACTTTAATAAGATCAACATTCCTGCTTTTTATATATATTTATGCCTCCAATTTGATTAAAATAGAATACATAAAGGGTCCTATAAACAAAGGATCCATATACTTAATGAGTAACATCCACAGTTTTCTTAAATCTATACAAACTATGCAACAGCCTATTAAATTCAGTAAGACTAACTCAATGGAAAAATGGGCTCTCATGCTCATTTCTTGGAATAACCAAAGAATCTATATTCATGGAGCCTCAGTTTTTTGTGTGTTTTTTTTTTTTTATTGTTGTTACTGTCAGTCGTGGGGCTTGAACTTAGAGCCTGGGTGTTGTCCCTGAGCATTTTGCTCAAGATTAGCACTCTTACCACTTAAGCCACAGCTCCATATCCAGAACCAGGTTTTAAAGACTAACCACAAAAATATTTTAATTTTTGTTGTGGTATGATATCTATAACAGTCAAAACAAAAGGAATAGAAAAAAAATCCTAGAAGAAACAGAGACACTAATCAGAAATTTCTAGTAAAAGATAAAATATTAACTATTCTATGTTTATAAAGCAAAATACCTTTAATATACAAATGATAGTCTATAAGAAAACATTTTCTGGAACTAAACAAAAACTATACCTAAATGACCTTCAAAACTTAGTACCATAACATAAATTTATGTTGTATCTAATATTCTAGAAATGATAGTGTGTAATTCAAAGTGACTTCCAGTGCCAATCTGACTAGCTCCCTGTTGTTTTGATTAAAATATCAGATTACCTAAGCTTAAGCCACTTTTTCTACAAAGTTATATTTCACAGTAATGACATTTGACCCTATAATATCACTTTACAGTACACCTACAATAGCACAGTGTATTATGTTAATTATGTTTATATTCAATTCTATCCCTCATAATATAATTTTAAGCCAATATGTCTCAGAGAGCAATAGATTGAAGCTATTTTCTACATGGCATCAATGGACAGTGTCAGTGCTTTACAATCTGGCTCCATCAGTTATAATTATTATCCATATAGTTATCAATTATTAAGTTCAAAAATAAGATAGTTAATACTTAGAACACATGCAAACAAAGAAGCCAGTTATCAGGCAATATAAGGATACTGCTGAGACCAAGTGAAAGTATGACACACTGCTATCAATTTGTGAAAAGATAAGCCCTTTTTGGGGGGGGGGGGGGGGTTGGGGAGGGAGGGGAGTGGAAGCAGTGGTAAGGCAACAGGAAAGTGAGTAGAGGATAGATGTAGTGGGAGGATAAAAGTATTGTCCTGTTTGAACCAAGACATGATGTACCCAATCATGAAAAAGGACAGAACCATAAACAACAAACAGACATAATTATTAGGAGAGAATATATCTGCAGAAAGAAATATATCAAAGAACACTTTATGTTCTAGTACTTGATTGAAAATTGCACAAATAAGGCATTTGTGTTCAAGTGTACTTAGAGTTGAATGAAAAAATAAAAAAAAACCTCAGTTGTAAAAGGAAAGACATGCATTTCTCTTTTCTCTTATCTATCCCTAATCAGCAATAGTTTGTTACAATATGAAAATTATGTACAAAGTATAAACCAGATCTACAAACAAGCTCAAGCTTCCTCTTTTCATATTACATAATAAAAGCAGTTTAAAAAACCCATATATTCAAGATATCCTAGGCTAGAATCCTGTTCCTTTCACTTACCAGACATGTGAACCTAAACAATTTACTTAGATTCTCTTGCTTTCCTTATCTACAAAGCTGAAATAACAACTATCTCTTATGATGATTCTGAGTTTTAAACAATATAATGTTTGTCAAATATCAGCACTTACTAACAGGGTTTGCTCAAGGGAGTAATTATTAAGTACTGATTGCTTCTGGTCATGACATAAAGCTAGAATGTTTTAGTAGTTATGAGAAAATTATTTCTGAGAGGAATCAAATTACATGGTATGTTTATTGCAGAAATTATGTTTAAAATAATAAAAGTTCTCTTCTGCTGTAGATGGAAAAGTTAAGAGCAAAGCTAACTAACTTATTAACAGGAATTAGTGTTAAAGAATTCTGGTTGTCTGAATTGTTGTTCAATGTGTATTTTTCTATCAGAAAACATCCAGAATAATTCTTACTTGCATATTTAATATTAATTCTACTTTTAAAAGTACTGGATTATTCACATAAATAAATGTCTATAGAATTGAAAGGTCCATTTTCTTTGTTGTAGGAAAAGAAACCTGTTAATATTAATCATTTTAATATGTCTGATTTTTTTAAGAAAAAGATATAGAAAAAGAATATCTAAACAGCAGGATTTTGTTTTTGTTTTTTAATATGACCATAACATATCATTCATTTTAAATGTGACCCCAACAAAGGATATTTTCAGCACACAATGTTCCCTATTTATAGTTAGGCTTTACTTAAAGCACTATATCAGAAAATCAAGAGTACTCTGTATAGTTTTTTGGAAGAGAACAGCAAAAATTATTTATAAAAGCACGGACAGGAAGCTTACGAATCTCTAACAAAATAGAAAAAGCTCAATCCATTGAAACTAAGTACCTTAGAAATTGAATCTACACAGCTACAAATGCAATCGCACAAATGTGGGTGGCACTGATGCAGAGAATTCAATTCTCTGTTTCCTTGAAGAAAAGGAACAGAACATGTACAATGACATAGGAATACTATACTGTTTAGTTCCTGTGAAGAAGAGGTATATCCAACACATTACATTTAGAAATACTAGAACAACTGTCAATTTTCAATCCTCCCAAAAAGCTTTTATGTAAAATAAGTTACCATAGAATCTCCCAATGCTTGAACAAAATTAATTTCAGAAAGGTCAACTTACCAACTCTATTACTTCTACATTTCGAACTGACGGGTCAGGCGCCACCTCTGGCCAATTAGATAATTCCAGGTACCCAGAAGCCTTAATGTTGAGAGTATGAGATAAGGTGCCAAGCTGGAAATGATCCCTATCTATTAAAGGTAGAGGAAAATATAAAATAAACAATATGAGCTGCATATAACAGAGAACAATCCTAATCAGAGCTCAAGGTAATTGGCATATTACTTCAAATGTCAAGGAATAAATATAAACTAGGAAGCTCTTCATAGGTCAAAAAACTGATTTCAGTCCATAGATTACAATAATCTGTCCCATAATGGTCAATAAAAAAACTAATCAGTCAGTGTGTTTAGAGGTGTTGCTCTGAAATGTAGCTTCTCTAAAAATTACTTTACTGTGAATATTAAGAATGACAGCACCGTTAAACAATCCATATACATGTCTTAGCACAAACACACCCAGAATTTTAATAGTTTTTCTACAAAACTCAAATGCTTTTTTTTTATCATTTTACAGCAATTAAATAAGAAACAATATAAAAACCAAGGTATCTGATCATTTGACTCCAACTGCAATGACTACTTATTAAACTGATAAAATATTTAATTAACCATTTTTAGAAAGCTGAGGAAAATAACACTCTCTCTTCTTGAAAAATGAATTTAAATATAAAAAGATTTTTTAATCAAATAATTCTTATTAGAAATTTTGAGGTTAGTATACACAGATGTTTAATAAAATTTCACAATTAAGATTACTTACACTCTTTATGCAATAAAACTATTTAAAATAAAATGAAGTGCTTATAAGAATAAAACAGATTTTTAAAACTATTTCTAGTTAAAATATTTAGTAAGAACAAAATTCGCAAAGACCAGAAATTATTTAGGAAAATAAGATCTAGAATAACATAAGCCTTACTATAAAAGTTGCTCTAAAACCACAAATGAATAGAAAGCACATTGTTCTTACATGCCTATTTCCTATTCATTTATATTTCTAAAAGATAAATTTTAAGCACATTAAAAGTGGGACATATTGTTGTAATAACACATATTTTGTAGTAATACAATCTAATAGTAATACCTTTAAAAGGAGACTCAAGCAGCGGTGCAGGTTTTTGTGCCAGGAATATTTTTTTGGCATATTTACTTAAAGCTCCACTCTTCTCATTCGGAACAATAAGCTGCCTAATAAATCTTGTACGGTCTCTGATGTCATAGTTTTGATCATACTTGCCGAGATTTAATATGTACTGGGTAAGCAATTTTGTCTGTTGGAAAAAACAGAACAAGATGAGAATACAGTTATTTATGATTATTGATAACTCTGGATAAACATATTTAAAGACATAATAAAAATGAATGGTTATGTCAAACAAATGTTGTTCCGTAGGGAATATGCATTTCTAACACGGCAAATGGAATTTTGAAGCCAAAGCACATGTCCTCTTCTGTACTGGGGAGGTGAATGCTGAGTACTGAGAAGCAGCCATGTGCTAGATTATTAAACTGCTGAAGTGGAAAGAAAGGCATCATTAAAAAAATAATCATATATGGCAAACCCGCTGAAGGGTCTACGTGAGAATAATGAATGTGGAAATACAACTAAAAACATGGCACTCAAAACTTAATCGGAAAAATATGCAGGACATCAAAACATCAGAGAGTATTAGGGGGCTGGCAAACTGCTTCTCCTGAGGTGTGTTTTATGAAGAGATACTGTCCCTGGCATAAGCAGTGTCTGCACTCTGACTGCACTCAGTTACTTTACCCTGAATTATGACCCATTAAAGCAGACACATGAATCACTGAACTGGATTACTGCAAATTATTTGCAGTGCATTTAGCTGTTACTTTTTCATAAAAGCAAGCTGCTGATGCCCTCTAAAAACTAGGATAAAAGACTTCTTCCATTTTTCCCCATGCTGCTTATAGCCTCTAGTAATATTGGTCATTTATTTATTTATGTAGGGAACAACTTATTATAGCAGCTTTTACACCTTAATAAGACTTCCTAAGTCAAATTTTGAATGTACTACATTAACATATATTGAAATAATTTTAATAATAATTAAATAAAAATTGAAATGGTAACAAAATAGGTTTATATTTTAAACTACAGTTTTTTATTGAAAATACATAATTTCAATTTAGAAGACTACACATGCAATTGTAACTAAATACTAAATAGGATTCATAAAACAAGAGAAAAATAAACTGAGGAATAGTAACTTATTTACATTAGACCATGTTACACACATTAGAAACAGATAAAAATAAAAACAATCAAGGTACAAAGAACAAAAATAATCCTAGAATACTAGGTCAAAATACAGAAATGGTGTGTCAAACTCCTTCACAAAAATAATTGGTTAAGATAACTGAATTAGATACAAAGCAACCTTCTTTCAGTCACAGGGTATTTAAAAAGCATTAACTTGGTTTTATTAAAGTAGAATTATTTTTAAAAATACAGGAAAATACTAATATTTTCTGAATTTCATTAGGAACAGTTGTTATTCACTAACTGCTAGACCAGATTCAATTTGTTTATAAAAGAATAATTCTGATTCCTTTTTAAAAATAATTACCAAAATAATGACAAAATGAGAAATACCACTCAATATCACCTTAGAAAGAATTTTGGTATATGAACATACACATATATCTTCCCTGAAAACCTGGCAAATTCACTTAAAAATTAGTTATCTCAAATGTAGAGTAAGAACTCACAACTAGCTTAACTAGAATATGCAATAAATATACCAGGGAAATTAAGTGTGTTACTTAGAAAAGTATTCTTGAGCTAACACATTTTGCTTAAAAGTTTCCTAACCCAAAACTAACTTCGAGAAAATTAAACTTTTCAATATATAAATTGGCATTATTGAGAACAAGATAGGGCATTAAAGTAATTACAAGTGTATAATATAAAATATGTATTTATGACTATAAAATCTATAATACTGGGTATTTTATAAATATTTCTACTAAAACATTCTCAAAAATAAAATTTGAAGATGGAGAAGAAAGACAAAGGGCAAAATCAGTTGAAACCCCTTGGTACAACTATTTTGAAAAAATGTAAATTAAAAAAAATAAAATTTGAGCATGGCACTGGTGGCTTACATTTGTAATCCTAGCTACTTCGAAGGCTAAGATCTAATGACTGTGATTCAAAGTCAGCCTGGGCTTTGGAAAGTTCTCAAGACTCGGATCTCCAGCAAAAAACTAGAAGTAGAGCTGTGGCTCAAGTGGCAGAGCACTAGCCTTGAGTGGAAAAAGCCAAGCAAGGGCAAGAGATACTGAGTTCAAGTCCCAGTTCTGCCATGAAAAATAAAATTAAATTTGAGACACATCTAAATGGGTGAGTCAGGCTATAGATCTTCCAGAACAACTTTTATAAAGAGCTGGTAGCATTTAAGTAAAATTATGGCATTACCAGGTGGAACATGAAATAGTACTGTTCATGTTGTTTTAGTCATCAATTACATAAGAATTAAACAGAATATAATGTACTGTAACCAGAAATTTTCAATCTTATATCCATTTATTAAATTGTGATTTCAGATTAATTTTCCTGCCTAAATTTAAGGAACCATAATGGCAAAGCCAAACACTATATTTAAATCAATTACATTCTCTTCATGTTGACTCCAAATCACTAAGGTCAAGAGGAAAAAATAATTTGGGTAGATGTTTATAAAATTTAATAAACTTATTATTTTAAAATAACTTTTCAAGATATGGGTGTTATATTTTACTCAATCTAACAAGTAATAAACTGCTAAATTTTATTTTGTAGTACTGGTATTTAAACTCAGTGCTTTATGCTTATTAGGCAGGCATTCTACCATACAAGGTATGCACTAGTCCTTTTTAAAAAAAAAAATTTATTTATTTATTTTTATTGTGAAAATACGGTTACAATAACATGGGCAAGATAATGAGTACATTTCTTATGAAGCATTGTAGCCTCCTCCTTTGTTTCCCCTTCCCATCCTCCAACCCCCCCCAATCCTCCCCACTCCCCACCCCCCCACCAAAGTTGTAAAAGTTCGCTTTCTTTTTTTTTTTTAGCACATTTTTCCATTGGTAATTTTTTTGGGGGGTCCGGTTGTGGGGCCTGAACTCTGGGCCAGGGCACTGTCCCTCAGCTCTTCAGCTCAATCAAGGCTAGCACTCTACCACTTGAGCCACAGCGCCACTTCCGGCTTTTTTCTTATGTGGTGCTGAGGAATTGAACCCAGGGCCTCAGGCATGCA